CCAGCCGGAATGGAAGAAGGCCTGCACTTAACCAAGAGACAAGATCTCCTGCGACCAGGAGGACGAAGCCATACCTGGCTGCGAACTTTACTTTGATACAGATGACTAAACACCCAAAGGAGACATTGACTACCCCAGTCCCCCGGAACACGGATCCCCTAAGGCCGCCTCCTTGGTAACTCAAAATCAACTCAGGGACTAAATCCGAGATGCGCATCAGGCATAGCGAAGGGTGCTGGACGACCTCCTGAATGGACTTAAGTGGTAACGTTACCTACGCTGACCCACCTCGGGCTCGCATCCACACACTCCCATACACTCCACAGTCACGACAACACCCAAGTAATGCCATGGCATGCCTACCAACATAACACTCCGGACAGGGGCAAGCGTAATCCCTCACCACACATCACCACTTCCAGCCACACGCAACAACTGACAACCACGCATGACATACAGGGAACACGGGCCACATCACAACACTGCATAACTGAGGCCAGGATGTTACTACTTACCTAGGAGACTTAAGTTGAACATTGTAAATACAAGGCTACACCGAACCGGAGTGAGTCACAACGGGGGGCGGCAAGCACTGGGAGGCTGCATGGGGGGGGTTGCCTTGTGGGGGAGCGCCACACTGCACCAAGGGAGGGTGGTTGGGTGTGGAGTGGTGAACCCCTACCGGACAGGCCCCTAATGGGACTCTATTCGGGAATGTGCATATGGCTAACTGGCAAATATTGTTGTTGATGCTTACGCTACGCTGTAGGATCACCGTGCATCTTGGAGCACGGTCTCAGAGAGGTCAGGTGTACCGCCGGGGCCGCAACGCGTTCCCCCGGGGCGCAGGCATGCGCTGGGGGCGGTGGAGCGGCACCGGTGGGAAACCAATGGGGCCCCGACAAGGCCTCTCTGAGTGCTGTTGACCCTTGAGAGGGTGTCAAAACATGATTAATAATACTGTTGGCCGCGAGATGGAGGCAAACGACATAGGAAGAGATGCGAAATCATAAAGCAACCTCGCTGGCGGCCAACACACAGTGTGTAGACAAAGGTTTAATACAGGGAGGTGTGGCCTCCCAACAACCGCACCAAGGACGGGATAGGCAATCGGGGCTATGTTAACTGTTGAATGTTAACTGTTGAATGTTAACTGTTGAATGTTAACTGTTGAATGTTAAATGTTGAATGTTAAATGTTGAATGTTAAATGTTGAATGTTAAATGTTAACTGTCAATTGTTGATTGTTTATGCATATGCTAAGCTGCACCCCTACTCAAAAAGCTAAAACCCGTGCGGCAGAACACAAAGGGAACTCTAACCCACAGATGTGCAGGCACCGACGCTACTGCGCTAACTGATCCAAGGTCACAACACGAAACTGGGCCGTACGACCCCCACTATACTCACACTAGGAAAACCACGCTCAAGTCTAATACTAATGTATAGACACGTCGCCCGAATAAGGGCTTCTGTGGCATTGCCCACACCCACCGTACTACTTCGGTACGCACCCACCCCACCCACCCACACCTGTCCCCATCCCTTCACCGGAGGAGCACTCTGAGGATCGTAAGACACACCAATACCCCCCATGGGACGCCTCTAGTCCCAAGCAGTTTCAACACCGGCCCTGAGGAAGGTCAGCCCCACGGCACTATACTATATTCTATAACCACCCTTATTAGCGGATCTAACCAATCACCCCAGTATGAAAATACAAACCCATAATGTTAGGGGCCTTAACACCCCATACAAAAGACATTGTCTCTTTAAAGACATTAGGAGGACACAACCAGACGTGCTCTGCCTCCAGGAGACTCACTTTAAGACACCACCTAATATGAAACCATCCCAATTTCCCCACCAATACCACGCAACATCAGGTAGGAAGTCCGGAGGAACGCCAGTCCTAATAAGCAACGCTGTATCCTTCCACCAACAATCTATACACAAAGACACGGAGGGTAGATACCTCATAGTGATAGGCACGATCAATAACACCAAATACACGATAGCCAATGTCTATGCCCCGTATACGAACCAGAGAAACTTCCTACATAAGATCTTGACCCTTTTACAACAGACACAGGAAGGAATACTGATCCTGTGTGGAGACTTCAACCACATACTCGACCCGAAATGGGACACAACAACACACACACCCCAAACGTCCAGGTCCAGGCAACACAGGGCATGCACAAAGTATCTTAAATTACTGGAGGAACACAACCTATACGATGTTTGGAGAACCCTCCACCCACAAGAAAGAGACTACACATACTTTTCACATGTCCACAATACATATACCAGGATTGATAGATTCCACATAGAAGGCAAATACCTAGACCAGATCGTAGAGTGTTCCGTGGGTAACATCATGGTCGGACCACGCCCCGTGCACCCTATCCCTCAAAGACATCTACGACTACAAACACAAAAGCCCATGGCGACTCAATGAGTCCCTCCTGTCGGATAAAGCATTTATAAAATCCGTAGAAGTTGCACTAAACGAATTCTTTACAACTAACAAACCGGGTGACACATCTATTGGCACCACATGGCAGGCACACAAAACAGTTATCAGAGGGCTCCTCATCAAACAAGCAGCACACACCCTGAGAGCAAGTAGAGCCAAATGGGCAGGTTGGCACAAGCAATTGGTAGACCTCACGAACAAAAACAAAACACAACCGACAGCGGAAACCCATAGGGAAATCAAAGAGATATCGGAGAAAATCAAAACACACTCTTTAAAGCAAGTGGGCTATAACCTCCGCAAACTCAAAGCCACCCACTACACTCAGGGGAACAGAGCCAGCAAAATTCTAGCAGCGAGACTGAAAAAAACAGAAACAATCACCAAAATTCCATACGTGTACAACCACAACAACACAAAACTGATTTCACCCATAGACATTAGTAATGCATTTGCACGATACTACGAACAATTGTATAACCTCAAAATGGCAAACTCAATAAGAGAACCCACAGACCAGGACATAGGGGCTTACCTCAGCGACACTCCTCTACCCCATCTTACAATAGATCAAGCAGACGCATTACAAAGCCCCATCACAATCACGGAAGTGGAAGAGGCAATACGCTCCCTACCCTCCAATAAAGCCCCAGGCCCAGATGGGCTTACTAACTTATACTACAAGAAATTTAAGCAAATCCTAGCCCCGCACCTGACGCTGCTCTACAACTCCGCTACTAATGAGAAAGAACTGCCCGAAGAACTACTACTAGCACACGTTATCACACTGCCGAAGCCAGGTAAACCCCCGACCCACTGCCCCAACTTCAGGCCCATATCCCTACTCAATACTGACGCCAAACTGTACGCGAAGATATTCGCAAAACGACTGAGCTCCATCTTACCCACACTGATCCACGACGACCAGGTGGGGTTTGTTGCCGGCAGACAGGGAGCTGACAACACCCGCAAGGTCTTGAATCTAATACATAGCATCCGAAGGGCGGAAACGGATGGCCTCCTTGTATCGCTAGATGCGGAGAAGGCCTTTGACAGGCTGAACTGGAGATTCCTCCAGGCGGTCTTAGTCAAATTCGGTTTTCCAACCCGATTCAGGAATATGGTGGAAGCCCTATACAGCCACCCGGCAGCAAGAGTTATGAACGCGGGTTTCTGTTCTGACAAATTTCAAATAACGAATGGCTCAAGGCAGGGATGCCCACTATCCCCACTACTCTACGTTCTAGCACTAGAACCCCTGGCAGCCAAAATCAGAGCAGAACCCTCCATACATGGCGTCAAACTGGGTCAGGAGGAGTATAAGCTGAGCATCTTCGCTGACGATGTCTTTCTGACTCTAACACAACCCCTGATATCCCTGCCGAACTTAATGAACCACATCAAGTCATATGGCCAATTATCGTATTACAAGCTGAATGTCACTAAGACGCAAGCAATGGGAATCAACATACCCATTAACACACTGGAACTCCTGAGGCAGTCCTTCCCCCTAGATTGGAGAGAGGATCACTTGACCTTCCTAGGAGTTAAAATGACGAAAAACCCAGCCTCCCTCTTTAAAACCAATTATGTACCCCTAGCCATTACACTCAAGGCCGCATTAGACTCTTGGGAGGGGAAGTATCTGTCCTGGGTGGGTAGGATAGCGGCCATAAAAATGTCCTTATTGCCCAAGCTACAGTACCTGTACAGAACGCTACAAATTCCGTTACCAGTGACCTACCTTAAATCCCTGACAAGACACCTGATGGCTTTCACGTGGCAACATAAAAAGCCCAGGGTCGCAGCGAGACTGATACAGAGACCTACACTGCAGGGGGGACTGGGCCTCCCAGACATATCTGCATACTATAGAGCAGTGGCTCTGACGATCGTACCACAATTAAAAACAGGCCCCCTCTCGCCACAGTGGCTAAATATAGAGAACTACTGGGCGAAACCCCTGACACTGCACACCCTATTTTGGACCCCAGACGCCCATAGACCGAACACCCTGCATCTGCTGCCCACAACGCAACACACGCTACATCACTGGGACACCTCTAAACACCGTTTGGTCAACTATCACCCAGTGCCCCTAGCCACACCACTGGAAGCAGTAGCAACTGTGATCCCAACACTAGACATAAAACCATGGAAGCAAAAGGGTATCATAGAGATAGGGCAGCTGTACAAAGAGGGGAAACTCAGACACTTCACGGACATCCAAGCAGACCACGGCCTACCCCCCAGGATGGTGTTCTCATATCTTCAACTCAAATCATATTTAACCCAGACCAAACCGAGCGCCCACAATACGGACCCCCTAACACATCTCTCTGAGTATGAACTCCTATGCACGCACAAGAAACCACTCAAGAAGACAATCTCGCTTAGCTACAGACTAATCCTTCCCACAACAGACATATCGGAGGACACACACGTGCCACCGTGGCATCAAGAAATGGGGAAAGACATAGATAAAACAGAATGGAACAAGGCATACACATCACACAAAGGCGTGACCTCATGCGCCACACACCTAGAACTACAACGCAAACTGCAATATCGCTGGTACATGGTGCCGGCTAGACTCCACAAAATATGGCCACGCTCCACGGACAAATGTTGGAGGTGTGGGCTCCATAGAGGCACCATGTCCCACATATGGTGGACGTGCGACACCTTACAGCCATTCTGGCACATGGTGCAAAACACAATCTCAGAGGTAATAAGAACACAGATAACCCTCACCTTGGAACTGTGTATTCTATTTATACCCCCAACAAAGGTGCCCAAAGCCACATGGTCAGCCATGTACCATGTACTCATATCAGCAGTAACACTCATTGCACGGTGGTGGAAAAAGCCAGAAGGAACTACTAATACGACAAATCTCCCTTAATTGGGATTATGAGAGCACATGGGCTACCCAATTGGGAAACAAACGCCACATGGAAAAAGCCCATGCAATGTGGGAAAACTATTTAGAAAGATCCAAAGCAAGCCTACTCTAATTCAACCCCGGTAGATGACTACAAGTACTAGACTGGAACTAGTCCGGAAGGCCCTGTGATACCGGGCCATGCTAAACAGAGATTAAGCCTCCTCATCTCCTCCCTCCCCCCTTTCTCTCTCCTCCCCCCCCCCAACCCCCCGAGTGAAAAGGTCTAGTGAACCTACAGCTACACCGAACACACCCAGTGTGTCATGCTTTCATTGTTACATATGTATACTGTGATTACTGTAAAAACTTGGTTGGGAGAAATGTACATACTCTCATTCTCAATGACAATGTGATGAATATTCACTGACCAATAAAAATTGTCAAATTCAAAAAAATTAAAAAGCTGAACATACTATCTCAGCATGTATTTAAGAACTGTTGTATCCAAAAAACACACTCCGTGCCCAGAAGTGGCAATGACCTTTCACTCATGTGCAGAGATGTGATGGGTCACATAGCATCATGCTAGGGACCTGGAGGCAGACAAACAAGTGTCCCAGACTGATAAGGAAAGTAATTTTCAACTGTGTTTTTGTTTTTCTGAATGTTTTCAATGAATACATTACATTACAGGCACCCAATATGGGATCTGTATACCTGGCTGGCGTTTCTGGGGAACACCTGCTCTGATCCTTCCCCTGGAGGATCGCGCCTGGCTCCCAGCTTATCACTGGCTGCTGTTGCAAGTAATAGAATGTACTATTACTCAAAATGGTCAGGCAGTGAAAGGCTGAGAGTGTCAGTTGATGCTCACAGTCTATCATCAGCGACCAAGGCAAATATTCTTGGACTGAACCAAAGGAGGAGATGGTGGCACCGCTATTGGGCTCTCTAGGAACAGATAGTGTTAGACAATAGTGTTATTGCTGTTGGTGCTAAATACAAAGTGCAAACGATGACATGCAACATATAAATGTGCTGCTTGTTACCACCGTGAAACCGATCACAAAAGTTTCACAACAAAATGTAAACACACAGGGTTAAAAAGGTAAACCGAGCAATAAAAACAATTTGGTTTGTGACAGTCTTACACAAATTGTGATATATCATATAAAATCACTAAAATGATAAAACACACAATCTCATAGGCAAAACAGCAGATAAAATTAATATATGGTGAGATAAAATAGTATTTGAAGGAATCACACCCACATTTTCTAGAGCCTGTATATAATACTGGTACTGGCTCCCTAGGAACAGACTTTGGGGTTAAACCATTCAAAAAGAAAACTAGTCAGTAGATTAAGCAAAGTGTTCATGAGTTCCTTCAGCACTGGCTCCATCTCCGCCTCCTCCAACATCATCGCAAGGGTGAACCTAATTTGTATTTGTGTACTCTTGTACACAATGTTCAATGAATTGAAGTGGTCTGGGTGCATATAGTGTCCCATTAAAAATAAAATCCTCAGGCCTCCTTTAGTAAATATATCTCTCAAAGTTATGCCACATAGGCTGATGGAAGTTCAAGAGACCTGGAATTCTAATTCACCAACTCACAGGTTTTTGAGACGAGAAAGTGTTTGCTATGTAGGAACAGGGGAGGGTTACAGTAGCTGCAGATACTAAATCTGCAGAGTTCATAAACCCTCAAAGAAAACTTGCAAAAACAAGTTCATGCACATTTTCTTTGGCAGTATATCTACCAACCTCTTGAGATTTTTTTTGAGTGTTCCTTTTTCACTTTTTTTTAATGTATACTTATCCGGTAGTAAACCTGATCCTGACGCACAACAGTTTAAAAAAAATTTTTCCTAATAAATTTTAAAACCAAACTTGAAAACTTCTATCAGTTTTTTTTTTTTTACTTTACACCTCACACACCTACACACATCCTTTTGTGAAACATATCTGCTTGTGTCACCTGCTTTTATGTCTTGTCTGTAACTGCAAAAACCACAATGCCAAAAAATGGTTTAAAGGTTGTATGATTTATTTTTTAACTGAGTTGCAAAGAATTGTAGTCATATGTGACGCACATTTCTCTTAAATAGCTGATGCATAAGGAATATGAACAAATTCAATAACCAAACGATAACAAAAAAAACAGATTAATTACTACATATGATTAGAAAGTGAAAAATACTTTTAGATAGTAACTTATATTTCACCACCAACAATTTATTTTGGACAAAATTACATAAAACTGACATTCTTAAGTTAAAAAACATGTAAAGACATACAGGGTTATGCACTAGAGATGAAAATTAAAAGTGAATTTTAATTAGCTGACTTTTTTTTTTTTGCAAGTCATTTGTTTGTTTTTGTTTTTTTTACATGGCTCGACAAATTCCAGGCACCTGGTCGACATTGCTACTAGACATTTTGCCCTAACGCCTGGGATTTAAAGCCCTTTAACTAAAGGAAGGATGGGGGAACAATGGAGCAGGCTGGGGCAGCATACGTGGGAGCAGTGATCTTCAAGCTGCTCCCTTCTGCTCCCTAGCACTGTTTAATGATGCCGGGAATAATGATGCCGGGAGCCGGAATATGACGTAATTCCAGCTCCCGACATCACTACATGGAGCAGAGAGGAGCCACTTGAAGATCACTGCTCCCTCACACGCAGGATGAGCGAGCAGCCCCACTGGACCCCAGGAAAAGTCCACTCAGCTCTCCCAAAGGTAGGGAGGCTGGGTGGATTCAAATTAAAATGGAGAATGTGTGTGTGTGTGTGTGTGCGTATGTTTGTGTGTGTGTCTCTCTCTGTCAGTGTGTGTGTGTGTGTGTGTCTGTGTTTCTCTCTCTCAGTGTGTGTGTGTGCGCGCCTGTCTGATTAGATGTTATCTATTTGCCTTATTTGGGATAACTATTTTCCTGATCTGTCCACCATGTTCTTTAAATTGAATCCCCCACGCAATGCCCACAGGTGGGGGGGGGGGCGTAGGGGTGTGTACATTAGTTGCTAGTCAACAATAGCTGCCCAGTTGCCAGTTATTTCATACATCTTCCAACTCACAGCATAGCAAATGGGAAAGGGATAAAGACTCCCATGTATTAATGTGGCTTTTATTTAACTAATGCGCCAGCTGATTGGCAAGAGTTGGCCAGCCGCCACATGATTAAACCTCTTGACGCAGAATTTTCGGTTTCACATTGACAAAGACAATTTTAAAAGTTTAGCAAGCATGTTACTAAATGCAGTTGAGTGATGTGTTTCCATATTTTTGACCATATGTAAAAATTTCAGCAGGGCTCTGTACGTGTACAGCCATGATTGACTTGCTAGGCAGTAGACTTGTGCATTTCATTTTAAACTAATTGTAAATTGTCCAAATTTTTGGCGATCAGTGGTTCGCCTGAATCCCATAACTCCAAAACACTATATGGACAAATCACAAAACAAATCCCAAAACAAACTAAATGGATGAACAGTTTAGATTGCTTTCTGATTCAGAGGTCCCCCAAAAAAAGATGACTGATGGAAAAAAGGATGATTAATAGTTAGGGGGCTGCCACTAAAATGCTGATTGGCGTTTTTTGCATTTTTCACACACAAACAAATACTAACGCTAACTTTGGCCAGTGTTTGTGACCAAATGGCTACTAAAAAAGACTGGACATACCCTTTTGCAATACCTTGGGTTGTCTACTATTGCAAATGGTATGCCATTATGGGTGTAAATTTCATTCCCGGGCTACTATACAGTCTCAAAGGCAACATAACCAATCTGGCAAATTTCAATTTCAAATGTAACGTGTTATATTTGACCCTGTAACTTCCCAAAACGCCGTAAAATCTGTACATAGGGGGTACTGTCTTACACGTGAGACTTTGCTGAATACAAATGTGTATTTTATTGCAGTAAAAGCAAACAGTATTATGACATTGACAGTTAAAATGTTATGTAGAACTAAAAGAATTTTAAAAATCTTATTTTCTCCCATTTTTTTCATATTAAATTATGTTTCATAGCTAAATTTTTTTATATTAAATGAAAGCCCTGTTTCCCCTGAATAAAATGATATATAATAAGGGTGGGTGCATTTACTATGAAAGAGGTTAATTATGGTTGGACAGACAGGTTTTGTTTACATTTTGTTTTGTTCACAATGTGTACATTTGGCTCCGTCCTTAAGGGGTTAAGGACCAAACATCTGGAATAAAAGGGAATCATGACATGTCACACATGTCATGTGTCCTTATGGGGTTAAAGACACATTAGTGTGAGTATTATTGCTATAGAGCTCTTTACACTTTCAGATACAGCAATAATATGGAACTTTGAGAAACAACAGACATTAGGATAGAAAAGAGGGACAGATGGATTTTAGCTAAACATAGGGACTGTCCCTTATAAATTGGGACACTTGGGCGATATGCATTATTTAGCTCAATTAATTCCTTGTAGTGGCTTTGGGTTTCAGCCCATATGAAAGAGCTTAATCAGTGCTGTACACATGGGTTACCGTGAGTGAAGCCAGCCATCGAACACTGTGTGCCCCCCTGAGCACACCCACAAATGCCAGAATATGGCATATTGATTGCAAACAACGAAATTGACAACAAGAAAAAAATAGCTGTTTGTGGCTTTAAAATGCCACTAATGACATAGAAAAATAGATATGCGGAAAGTGCTGGTTTGTATTAGTAAGTAAACCTGAAATACATGCTAATAAACAACATGAGTCTTTTTTCACTTCTGAACTTAAATCTTTTTTTTCTCAGCAACCACAATTTTTACACCATCTAGTGAATCAAAGGGTGGCGGCTGTGGCCAAAATACACCTCTTCTGTTGAAAACAAACAATTTTTAATGGGTTTGAACAAAATAGGGGGTGCATGTGAAAATACAAGGAAAGGCAAATGAGTTAAAAGATGATAAAAAGGAAAAAATGCCCTCCATATCCCATCAGAGTCATGCATATTAAACCTCTGTAATTATTATGTTCATAATTACTCAATAATTATTGTACATGAAAATATAAAATACGTTTGTTTAACTCTGATCGAGTGATAACCATGGGTATTTCAACCATAAAATACTTACCTGTTTTTACAGGGCAGTGAATCAAGAAATAGAACATTTACTGCATTGAACTTTCGAATTATAAAAATAACGAAATAGAAACCAAAAACTGTGATGTGAACATAAAGTAAATCAATTCTGACTGGTTCTTAGCAGCATTCTATTACATTATGATTTAATATCAATGTGAGTGAATGTTTAGAAAAACAGAGAAATAGTTCGAAAACGATATATAATTCTTTAGATGCAAATGCAGGGTTTGCAAGCAATGTTTTTATAAACCGGGAATCTTACGGATTTAACAAGTGCATTCTATGTTTCATAGTTACATAGCTGAAAAGAGACTTGCGTCCATCAAGTTGAGCCTTCCTCACATTTGTTTTTTGCTGTTGATCCAAAAGAAGGCAAAAAACTCAGTTTGAAGCACTTCCAATTTTGCAACAAGCTAGGAAAAAAATTCCTCTGGGCCCTAGCCAGCTTCCAAGGGTCACCTTATGGTTAATCCTGCTCTGATTAGAACATCAGATTAAAAAATAAAACAGGAAGTTATAATATGGGTTGCAAAATTGGGATTATTTATCAAGATATGAGGCGGTTTGAAGCTATGTTATCTTATTATTTCTAAAAGTGTTTTTATAGGGAGAGAACTATCATTAGTTCATTCTTAACTTTGCATGATTCTGATCACTGGCTATAATTTACATTCCTGCTCTATTCTTTTCTGTTTAGAACACCAAGACGGTGCAGCTTTCAATTCAAATAGTTTAAACACTTTGGGGGAGATTTATCAAAGTGATGCAGACAATCCTACACCGTTTTATGACATTGTTTTGGGACAATTTATTAAATATGTTTGGAGCTCTTTGAAAATGGGTATGTCTGTGAAAATGACAAAATTTAGACAGAGAAAAGCCAAAACCTTTTTATAAATTATTTTTTAAAATGTAAACAAATCAAAGACCAACATTAAAAGATACATTTCAGAACAACTTTTATTAATCTCTTCCTCCCTTCCCTCTCCCCCACCCCCCCTCATTATTTTATTCCTGTCTCACTGCAAGTATTATATCCAGATTTCTCTATCAAACCACCGGCAACTATTTTACAGTTATTTTTCTCCAACACACTTACTCCCCAACCCAACACTAAATGATCCCCTGAATTAAAAAAGTTTCATCTTGCTTTAACTCTAATAAGAATTAGTATTGAGTTCCCTTCCATATATTCTCAATAATTACAGGAATCAAAGAAACCCCTTAACTCCTCACTTAAAATTATCCAGTTACTCTAAATCACGTCTTCTGCTGTTTAAAACAGCTCTGCATTGTGATTCGCCTAATGTACAACAATTCAACTAAACATCCAATCATCAGTGAGAAAACCATACAGGAACTACTTCCTTTGACTTCAATACATTCAAAATCCATTGAAGTCGATGAAAAAAAAAAACACTGTGCAACTCTCGTGCACGTATATCCAAAGTCAATGTACTGTTCAATGCTCAGTGGTTTGATGAGAGATTTCTCTATGATTTGCCGGATGTAATTATTTTGTTTGTTTTTGTTAGAACAGGACTGTAATAATAGCATTATCACAACAGGTATTTAAAAAAGTTAGTTTCAGTTAACAAGAGTGCATGCGAATATTTGACATAAAGGGGATTTATATAGAAATTATCATGTTCAATTTCAGATTTGCACTGATTTTGTGCAGATAAAAAGCAGTTATTCCTTTCTAAATATGAAAAAAAAAGTGCAACAGGAAAATAAAATAATAAAATAAACAATGAAATAATGGAAGAGGCACAAAAAGGAATATTTTGGCACAAATATGGGAATAAATAAGAGCAAATAGGAAAGTGCCAGAAACTGTTTGTACATAACCTCCATAGTGCAGACATTCACTTGAAACAAAATACAATTTAAATATGAACTAAACAAAAACAAATGTCAATGCTAAAAAGATGAAGACCAGTGCTTATGCAGTCGCATAAAGAGTCCCATATCAGAAATAAACAGAAATTAAAAATATTAATAAAATGTATCAATTTAAATAACTTGTTGCAACTGGTATAGGCCTAGATTTAATATTTTTGGACGCACTTTTCAGATTGTTTAATATTTTAGGATAAACTAATAAAATATTTTTTGCAAAATACTAAAATATCAAAAAATATATAATTAAATATGCCAATATATAAAACTAATACTTTAAATTAGATTTTAATATTTTGATACATTTAAAAAAAAATGTATCTATACATATTAAATAATTTGAAAGGCCATAATTTTTAAGTTAACATCACTTAACTCCCTAACTATCAAGCACTTTTAGATTGAAAAACTATTAGCATAGCATTTCTTTGAAGCAAGGGTTGTATATTTAGCATGTACACATATAATAAAACTCCAGTTTTGCGTATAGATTGCTTTTCAGGCAAACTGAAATGTAAAATCTTGTATATTTTGTAAATTTTTATTTTAAACGTATTTGTTTAACCTTTATAAAACGTTTTGTATAATAAAAAGCTTTAGACAGTATACAGTGTCCTTTATCTTCCAATATTTCACTGACTGTCCGAAATGTTTGTAAACATCTTATAAACATAAAAATTTAGTGTTTCTCCCATATAGCAGATGTAACAAAAATAGGTAAATAAAGCTGATCAAATGACTTTTTTATCGGTATTTGTAAGGATCCTGACAATATTATTAGCTGTACAGCTGAGCTTAGCAAAATTACAACAGAATGTGAAAAGAATATCTGCATTTGAGCACAATGTGCACATTTAGTAAATACTGTTAAATAATATATTTCTAAAATTAAAGTATACAAAACTGCTTTAGCAGTCTTTATCAATCTCTGGAATGCTAATGTAATGCTAATAATGAGTCAATTCACTCCTCTTCCCTCCTTGATTGTAGGCATGATATGATCCATTGAAACTCCATTCTCTGTGCTGTGGGGGTTAATTCCCGTGCAGCATGGAGTCTGTTATACGAACGAAACGGTAATGCATTCGGCATTTGCCCTTTCGTTTCGCTTATATTTCGTTTGTAGGGATTTCGCTTACGTTTCAGTAAACGAATACGAAAAAAACCTGAATTTTCGGACGAAATCATATTTAAACTTACCTTTTATGTGCAGGCTTTCCAGGGTCCTGCTGACTGAGGCTGATGTGAGTGTGGAGCTGGTTGGACTGGGTCTCTCCACTCCTGTAGGTCCTCCTCCTTCTGTGTACCGTGCGGGGCTCTGTCTGCATCTTGGAGGAAGTGACGTGACTCACTTCCTCCCATGACTTACTTCCTCCCATGTCGATGATATTACAGGGACCCGGTCACGCTGCTAGTGGGCTGCAGCACCCGACTTGGTCCCTGTTGAGCTCCAGAAGGGCTCTCCTGGCAGAGGCGCCCCAGCCGACACCGCAGCTCCCACTCCCCCTGTCCTTTGTCCTGTGCCACCTAAGCCTGAACCTGCGCTCAGGCGGCTGCTGCGCGTGGGACAAGAGGCTGCGCAGAGAGTACAGAGGCGGTCGATAGGCGCTTCCTTCTTCAATGCACCCGAGGCTACTGCCCATCTCGCCTATACGAAGTGCCCCCCCTGTGTGTCAGTCACCAAAATAGTCTGTTTTCTTCATGGGAAAGGGGGGTCATCCCCCTCGCTCTCAGGTATCGATTTTTGGCTTGTCCCTCCTCTACCTCCCCTCCACAAAGTACTCTCGTAGATGTTAATTTGAGGGAGTAGGAACTGACATTAGTTTCACCAGGCAGCCACACTGGAAAAGGCAGACTTGAATCTCCATGTAATTTCTGCCTGGTCCCACTGAAAGTATTGTGACTGACCATTTTGCAGCTAGGAGAGGGATGGTCCAGCGTGATAAGGGGTAGGAGAACATAGGAGGTAACCAAGGGTGATTAGCGCTTTTGCTGGATTGTGTGTTTCGGGGCCCTGCACTGATTGATCCACAGTCCTGTTACAGGATCCGTCACAGACCTCACACGCATCCCACTCAATGAACCCCACATACACAATCAAACTCAGCCAACTCTACACATAAATATCACACTCAGCCAGCCCCCATGCAATCATATACAGCCACCACACACATCCCACTCAAGGGAATTGCTTAGGAGGGAGCGATAAGCGAGGGGTGGGATTCTTTCAGCTGGGAACCAATGGTTCCTAGTAACGCACCCAATGCCAGTAACTCATCTCACACTAATATCTGATTAACTGAGCTGCATATGCACACTCTGTAAGTCCAAAACATGTTTGGAAATCTTTAAAACCTTATTTTAGCAAAACTAACCAGCTTAAAAATTGGAGAAAGAAGCAGAATTGGAGTCCAACATCTATAATATAATCTGATTTGCATACCTCCCAACTGTCCCTGTTTAGGAGGGACAGTCCCTATGTTGGGCATAGATTGCTCTTCTATCCTAATGTCCCTCTTTTCTAGGAGCTCCATATTGTTGGTGTGTCTGAGTGTATAACAGAGCTCCACAGCAATAATACTCACAATAATGTGTCTTTAACCTACAAAAAAACATTTAGGAATCAGTGTGTGTTAATAAGATACATTGTTTTTGTTTTAAATCATATTTTAGCTGCAAAAATTGTTATTAGCAAGTCACCAAGCATTTCTCAGACCAACCCCGCCACTGGTCACACCCCCAGCCACTACCCTAAAATTAGAGTGTCCCTTTTTGTCCATTTGAAATGTTTTATAAAAATACTGAAATTAATTTTTTGGGATAACCCTTTTAAATGATTTAGTATTTTAATAAAAATATTTTATTTAATATGTTAACATATTTTTTTTTATATTTTAATATTCTTAATAAATAATTCAAAAATGTTTCCAAAAATATGAAATCATTTTAAAAGCATATGCGAAAATATTACATTGAGGCATTCGTCTAAATAATGCAATTTGGTTTTTAGTCACCTCCAATTTGTTCTTTAGTTTATCCATCCTGAGAAAGTTATATCACCCAAAGAATAACATCCATTCAGAAGGAGTCACAAAACAAGATATAGATGATTTGAATTCTAAACACAATCTTAAAACACAGCATTCAAGTTTATTGCTTTAAGTGTACGCTTATGAAATCTGACAGTAGTTTGGTTTTAAAAACAGTTTCACAGTAATTTAGAAGTGAATTCCCACTCCGTAAAAGTATGGAAATATTGAGTCTCAATAAAATGCAATCAAACTACATAGTTAAACATGGCATGATTCAGTTTAGGCAAATGTTTGTTTTATTTAGCTACAGCTTTTATAAAAGACCACAGTACTGATAAGAAAAAAAAAAAGGTAAAACAATTACAAAGCAAGTTTATATTATCTCAGTTAGGAAAATTGTACATCTATTCATAAAATATCTATTTCACACAAATTGTGATTATTGGTCACTCGAAGCACCATAACAACTTTATATCGTTGCAAAAAGATATGGCGGAGACACTCTGTTCCTTCCCTTGGTGGCTATAACTGCAGCACTATTGCTACCATTTGAAGAAGAGTCATTAAAAAGTTGACGTTCTATTGTCTCCGTTGCAGTCTCAGATTTGTCCAGCTTTTGCGTGTGGCTTGGACCAGCTTGGACAAACTCTTTTGACGAACGCTTAAACTGGAGCCGCATGTATGTCTGGTCAGCTAAGGAGATCTCTGTACACAGCACAGTTTACAAAACTGTGAACGTGACTGTGTATGAAATGATAGCAGCGTATGGCTGCTACCAACATATTCAGCAGTTTACTTCATACAATGTGATGAGTGGAACTGCAGTCGGCAGAACTACTTGTGTATTCCATAAACTCTTGTTGGACGGTGTTTTATGGGATAATAAAAGTCCACAGACCAGTAGGAGAGGCTTCTACCTGGTCAAAGAGGTGTCCCCCAGGTGCTAATTCTTGTGTGTGACAGTGTAGCTACTCTAGAAACTTTAACAATAAGTATTTCTTTTTTACTTTTTAATTTTCTTTTTTTTTAACATAATTTTCAATGCATTACCTAATGTATAAAAAAGTTTATTGTCCATTGTGTCACTTTAAAGGGATATGATTACCATGAACTGTACATTAATATTTATGTGTCCGCATAGTTTAACATAGTGTAGTGCAATCATTTGTTACGTAAACATGATAATTTGTTTATCGTTCTATGTTCATGATTTTATTTATATATATATATATATATATATATATATATATGTATATATATTCCATGTCACCCTACATAGATCTTACTAATAAAACCCTTTATTGTTTTGTTGCAGGAATGATTTTGCATTTAAACATTCTAACTAAACAATGACTAGCCTTTTTGTAAAAAAAAAAGTACATTTGACACAAAAAAAAAACAAAACATATATTAAAAATAAAGGTCAAACTAATGATTTGGCATAAACATTCCACTTATTTGGGAAATGTCTCCCAATTTTTTTCTAAACTCACTAATTTCATCTTCAATTATGCATGTCAGTTAGTATCAACTCTAGCTCAGGAAAATCTCTTAAAGACTTAAAAAAAAAAAAAAATTAAAATATTATTTGTCAATGCTTACTTTGGGAGACCTTTGCAAAAACATCATACGTTTGACATCTGTATACTTTAAATATTTAATTTTGTATTTAAAAGTACAAAATCAAATAAAATCTTTTTTTTTTTTTTTTTACCATATTTGCTTTTAAAGTTTATACTCTAGAAATGATTCACTTTTTATATACAGGTATATCTGGAACATCAAGGTACATCTTGATTGATACAGTGCAAATTCCATAGTCTTGTCTAGTTAGTTAAATGCTGCCAGATTGACAGAATAAAAGTCTTTGAGCCATTTGGATGTGACAGATTACATCAGGATACAGCAGTCAGCGAACCCTCAAGTGCTTTGGAGCTGGGGCATAGGGCTGATGGTGTTTGGGTCTTTGTGGTACCACGTTAATGTATTCACTTTGTAAAATCCTGGTTTTCCTTCCTTTCCGCTGTAAATGAAATTAAATTAAAAGACAAAAAAGAGATAACTTGCATTTTTCTTCAAAAATGGCGAGTTTGTACAGAGATAGATGGGTGTGTTTAGAACAAAATCATTCTAGTTATCAAACACATCTAGCTAGTATTCTCTGCAAATGTAGTATTTATTACACCAGTCTATAATGTGTAAATGCATTATATATAGATGTACTAATCAAATAATTAAATATGATTATATTAAAGGGACACTATAGTGTCAGGAAAACCGCTTGGATATTATTTGGATCTCAAAATGTGAAAAACAGATTTAAAATTGCTGCATAAGCTTTCCTAATGATTTGATATATATAGATTTATATATATTTATGCAAAAACTTTTCAAATGATTTGTTCAACATATTCAAAAAATAAAAAAGTATACCATATATGAAACATATCAAAAAAGTGCAAAATTTTAATATTTTTCATCATATTAAATCATTTTAAAAGTTTATGCAAAAATATAAATTCCTTTGGAAAACATATACAACAGTATTAAATTGAGGCCATATTCAGCATTTTTTTGTTTTTTTTAATTGGCAGATTGATATTTTCAATTCATTTACTGGATTCCTGAATTACACTAATCATGTCAGTCTCTAAAGGGAATGCCCCCTTTGGTAACACTGCCATGAATGTGGGTGATATTGTTTTCATATTTAAAAGCTTTGTCAATTTCCAAGAATTGCTGTTGAATTATTTGTTTGGGGTATAGTTTTAATATTTTATCATCTTACTGTCTAATAAAAAGCTACCACAACTTTTGATAAAACACCCAGGTATGAATGCTAGACCCCAAACACATAAAAATCAATAATAACGAAACATTTTAGCCTTGATTTAATATTGTTAGATAAGCTTTTCAAATTATTTAAAAAAATTTTTTTATAAACTTTTAAAATAATCAAAGAAAAATAATTTTTTTTGCAATATATTGATATAATGATATATTTGATTTTTATTTTTCATTTTTAAATATTATTTATATTTTAACATATTTCAAAAAATATTTTTAAATGTCTGTCAAAAAATAGCTTGTGTGATCTCAGCTATTTCCAGGATTAGACTGTAGGTACAGCAATTTAATTGGATTTATAGTATCTAATCTGTATCTATATCATGTTTTAAATAGACGTGTTACAAGAACCCCTTGCCATGATCTTTTATTTTCACTATAAAGGCAAAGTACATTTAGGAATACATTTTATTGATGTCAACTCACCAAAGTGTAAATTAATGCTATTGTGATGACAGAACTGTATATTGCTAAAGCTACAACTGAAGCCAACATAGGCCATGGAGACTGCTGTTTCGCCAGGATAGGTGGTGATTGTAGCACAACCTCTATAAAAAAAAAAAAAATTAAACATAAGAGGAAAAATTAAAAAACAAAGTACATTCAATTGTGCCATTCCAACATTACACATTATATGACCTTCAACACTAAACACATAGTAATGATAATTTCTTATGTGTTTATTTTTAACTTTGTTAAATAAATGGACGTGGTTTTTAAAGAGACTATCTGAGCACCATAACTACTACAGTGCTCTTTAAAGGAGTCTCAACAGTAAACTATCAAACTTCTTAAGAATAGTTTAGGACTTAATTGGCATGGAAGTGACTGTGACTTAATTGGCATGGAAGTATTCATTGACTGAGAGCTGCTCTTGAAAGGTTTTATAGTTTACTGTAAGGACGCTCCAGGGGACTCATAAGAACAAAAGGGGTCATTCACTAAACAGGGAACTTTTGGTGATTTACCAAAATACTGACAAAATGCAGGTGAAAAAGAAAACATGAAAAATATCCAAATAAAATGGATAAGATGTAACAGTTGCACTTCCTATTTATTAATCTACTACTGCACTCAGTGGATTTTTTATTATCACAATGATTATTAAAACAGACACGGTCTACCATGACAGTTCAGGCCCGTCACTTCTCTCTCAGTATCTCTTGAAGAAATTAATAATCGTGATGATGATGAAAGAAATAATCCAATGACTATAGTAGATTAGAAAATGGGAGGTGCAATTATTACATCTTTGCTATACTAAATGATGAGCTGTAGTCAGTTGACAAATGTGTTGCAAATTTAGATTTGCCTAACCTCTCATTGCAAAGATGCTGGATATTTAAAAAGCAGCATTGGCATGTCTACAGAGTAATGAGCCATTTAAAGGAATCCCTATAGCATAAGGAATTCAAACATGTATTCCTGATACTATAGTGACCTGCTAACTGTTACTGTGTCTGCCACCCCATCCCCCCCAAGTGAAGTAAAAAGGCAATACTTTTCATCCTGCGGAACACTGGTTTCTCCTTGTCAGTCATGCCTCCTTGGTTGGGAACATCAGTTTTGATGATCTCAGCCAATCCAGGGCTCCCCCAAATGAAAGCATTGGGGGGTTATTGCGCATGCACAGAAGAAGCGGCGCTATGCCAACCAGCATCTCCTCATAGACGTGCATTGATTTAATGTATCTATATGGTTGGGCGTTCAACATCTCCATGCAGAACGTGAAGACATTGAACATTTGCAGGACTAAACCCAGGAAGTACCTTTCCTGGCTGTTTGAGTGACTGCCACTAGAGGTGTTACTAGGCAGCAATGTAAAATGTGCAGATATCTAAAAAACCTTAGTGTTTACAAGGCTTAGCCTGGAGAGACAGGCTAGAGACACCAGAAGCACTAAGCTGTAGTGGCTCTAGTGACTATAGTGTTCCTGTAAGCATCACTCGTTACTTATGCAACAATGGAATTTCTGTGCAACAATTAATTCTGACATTTATTACCTTTTACATGAATGACAGTGCCATTATCATACTTGGCTACATATGGTGGTGGGTCCATGTGTTCCTTCAGCAAATAATAAATATCTGTATCGTTTTCAGAGAGGTCATTGAGGTAAAATGTGACATTGCTTGCAGTGGGAGTTATTCTACACTTGTTGTGCTGGAAAAGCTGATGAGAAGCATTGAAGGATCCATGGCAGATTACTACTCCTTTGTTGGAACCTTTGATTAGTGACACTTTATATTCCATTTTTGTGTTGCTAAAGTCGCAGTGAAATAATAAGTTTATAGTCCCATTCAAAACACGGTATATGTTTTTATCAGCCTTACAGTCTGAAAAAAATAAATAAATAAATAAAATACGATCATTGATATAGCAACAAAACATAGAACAGTGACACGAACAATAATACGTATAATTAAGTATGTTGCATATAGGTGTATATATTTTATGTATGTGTTCTCTAGGGCATTGCCAAAATGAAGAAATCCTTCAATATATTGTTCTTTGTGTAACTCCCTTCATAGCAAAATGCAATAATTTTTATTCCTGCTCAGTGTGCTTTTGGATGAGATTTGTGATGTCACCCATTCAGTTTCCATTGGGACTTATGAGCCAACTGCTCCAGAATAGAAGCATACTCTATGCCTTCTCTTGTGGATGCTTATTGGCTTAAAGAATGGGGGAAGGGTTAAAGTGCTTAGAAATATCCAACACTCGGAAGCAATTTTAGAACGCAGTGCAAATATGCAGCATATCTTTCTCTCCTCCTTACTAGCAGCTTGAGCAATAAAGGCAATAAACCAGCACTGCAGTCTGCATTATATGATGCATAGTAATTATTAAATAAATTAACTGATACACAACATGGAGAAGCATTTGCTTGGACTGTTTTGCTGGTCAGAGCGCATGGGCACTCTGAGCTGACAAGAAGAGGAAGGAAAGGAGAAGGGGCCGGAGGAAAGAAGGGTTTTAAAAAAATAAAATATAAAGTACAGCTACAGAGTCAGGAGGGAGCACCCAGAGGAGGGGAAAAGAGGACGGGGAGAGCAATCTTCTTCTTGCATTGCTCTATCGAGATTTGACTGTTAGAGTGTTCTGATTGGTTGGCTTACTAGCTAACCAATCTGAGAGCTCTCTTACTCATATTGCAAAGCGTCGGTAATATGTCACACTTTGCAATAGCTGACATAGCTAATGCCAAAGTTCTGGCCTTAAATTTGAAATTCACTTTCAATTTACTAAGAATTCCCGGCAATTCTTGCTCTAGTGAATAAACCCTGTTTGTGTTTTAGAAAAACTTGACGGAAATACTAAAAATAAAATGTGTGTGATCTCTTTTCATTTATTTTGAT